AGCCAACCGTAACCGTGCTTCTGATCCTCCGTCGTCATCCTCCACCATCGTTTTCGCCCCATCCTCTGCCGCGGCAGCTTCTGCCCCCACCACCACGAAACACAATCCTGGCTCACATCATGTATCCAACTCACCACCGTCAACACCAAGAATGTGAACTCGGTCCAAACTTGTCTTCACTGCGATCGCACATTCATCTCACACATCCGCCTGGTCGCTCACTTGTGAATCCATCACGCAGAGACTGGCCAACCAGCACCTGGAGTACCAAAATACACCCACTGCATCGGCGTATTAGGTCACATGCGCATTCACGAAAACATGCGGTAGACCACCAGCAGCCACACCAAACCTTCCCCCACTAGCGTCTGCACTGCAAAATAAAATCACCCATCGCCTCACAACACCAGCACTAAATTGACACCCCTCACTTAAGTGGAGAGTGTGCTCCTCCGCTCCTTCTCCACGTGGCTACACTGCTGCATTCCTGATCCGAGTCTGAGATTATTACGGTGCGCCAAGCATCGTGGCTTGGAAGGGTGCCGACTAATGCTTCAACACAGTTCACTCAGTCAGCCCATTTGTGTGTGTTGGTGAGGAGCTGCGGATTGGTGGGCAGATTGTCAGGCTGTCAGGCCACGGGGAGGTCGAGATGCCTGTTGATGGAGTTGGCATCTGAGTACCAAGCCTCAAGTGCGAGATGTTATGCCCTTGAGGTGTCCCGACTTAAGACGGTTGATCCTTTAAAGTCAAGACTGTAACCAGTTTCTTCGATGTGAGTTTGGGTTTAGTGTCCGAGTTGCCAATTTGTGCTCAGGTAGACAGGTCTGCAATTTCCGTCTGGTTTTCCAAACGTATGTAATTGCAGTCTCCATTGTTACAAACTATTTAAAAGACAACTGCCGAGGTTTCAGTGAGTGGCAATGTGTGAATTTGGGTTGCATCTAACCGCGACGAATTACTGCCCGTGGTCCATGGACAATGCCTACACTGGTGGGTTATAAGTCATGAAACCACCCAGGAGACTCCTTTAGTGCAAGGAATAGCCCTCCAGACCTTGGCTTGCTTGTCTTGCGACCGTCGTCTATTCTCTTGGCGCCTGCTTTGCTTGATAAAATAGCTTGGCTATCCATTGACCCGAAAAGGGTCATGAAGGCATTGCCATTCAGTTTTTTTCGGTCGTGGTCAGGACAAACCGCCCAAATGGAGCTTAAAAATACCGAGCAAACACGGCCCATCAACTAATTCACCCGAAAGGAGAGCACAACTGCAGCCGACACCCATTGATGTGACGACACAACGCAGGAGGCCGTCAGCATTCGCAAACAACGGCCAGAAGTCCAAGGCAGCGAAGGGAGTGAAGAGTCGATCAGCACAGAACCAACTAATTTGGCCACTTCTGGTCGATTTTGTGCACAAAGCGCTTTGCTAACGGAGAGTAGGCCAAGCCCTCCGAAACCTCAGTCATGCAATTTCTCTGATCCGGCGAGTTCTTCGCATTTCTCCGCTTATTGACCCGAATCTCTTACGTTGGCTAACTTGGATAGGGTCTGTCGGTGGCTTAAGTTGCCACAACAAAACTAAGAGCATCCACCCTATCCAGGTTTTTTTGCAGGAGGGATGAAATCAGATATGGGTGTGAGGAGAATGTGCGGTCGCAGTGAGGGCAGGTGTAGTCCTGGTCCTCACCGTCAGTGTCGACGGTTGTGGTGTTGGTGTTGGTGTTTCAGGATTGTGTATACAATTGATGTGCGCGGCAGACGTTAAGGTAGTGGGGAGGAGGCGGAGGAAAGAATCCGGTAGGGCGTTCAGAGTCAATTGTCGGGGTAGACGGCTAGGGAGAGATGGACGGAGAGACGACGGTTGGTGCAGTTCGAGTGCTGCAGTTGGTCTGAAGGTGGCCAACGAGTCCAAGTGGCGCCTGGAATGTCCGTTGACATCGTGAACATGTTGGAGGCGGTTGGGCGTTGGCGTTGCGAGGTGGGCGCAGGTGGGATTTGCGGGCTTCTCGTTTGGCTTTCGCGGCGGCGATGCGGTTTGCCCCGTATATCACTCCGCACGACTTCACTGCCCTCCTCCAGGTCGGTCGGTCTCGAGCGAGGTCTTCTCATTTGGCCAGCTTAATCTGCAGACGCTTCAGGGAGGTCTTCAGAGTGTCCTTGTACCGTCAGATTTGGCCCCCTTGGGGGCGGGAACCCGTGGCGACATCTCCATAGAAAAGTTGTTTTTGGTAACTGTTGGGAGCGCCTACACTCCCAAAAACAAGAGCCAGCCAATCACGGGAGGCCACGTGCGTCTTCTCCACTGCGCTGTCATCTTACTCGTGGCGCCTCTCCATTGGCTTTTCCTCTCGGGCCTGATCGATCAGCATATTCGAATTATCGACCGGCTCGTCTCGAATGTTCTTCCCGAAGGGCATTGGGCCGAACGCCGGCGAAGCACCGTAAGGCGTTATAAATACGCGTTGCTTCCAGTTCATTTTGACTTGCATTTTCCTAATACACAGTTTCGTGGCCGGTCGCGTTCTCCTTCTCTGCCGCGTTGGTATTGGGGACAAGGGTCGAGTGCGCATACGCTCCACAGGATTTCACGTACCAGGCGGGTCATAATAGTAACCGCTTTTCGTCCATCCGCACGAGGTGGCCGCTCCAGTTCAGTTGTAGTTGTCTCAGCAGGCCGTGGACGCTGAGGATTCCCGTCCGCCCCAGTACATCACTGTCCGGGATTCGATCCTACCAACTCAGCCTCAGGATGCGACGAGAACAACTGAAGTGGAAGTGATTGAGCCTCCGCGCCTGGTTCTTGTAGACCGTCCAGGTCTCCGCTCCATATAGCAACGTCGGGAGGATGACTGCCTGTACGTCTTCAGCTTCGAGTTGAGATGGAGACCGTGGTGGTTTCATAAGGTGTTCTGCAAACGGTCGAAGGCTTGGCTGACTTTGGAAATACGGCGAACAACTTCTTCGTCGATTATGGTGCTACGGGAGAGGGTGCTGTCCAGATACGTGAAGTTGGCCACCATTTACAGTTTGGTTCCGTTCACGCTGATTTTTGGCGCATTGTGGGCTGTTTTGGGTGGCGGTTGATGCCCGACAACCGTCTCCTCCGTGTTGATGACCAGGCCGAATTTGTCGCAAGCGACAGCGAAGAGATCCATGCTCCTTTGTATCTATCCATCGGAGGTGGTGTTGAGGGTGAAGTCGTCCGCGAAGAGAACTTCGTGGACGGTGGTTATGAATACGCGCGATTGGAAGTGCATCCGCCGTTGATTGATAAGGTGACCGTTCGTCCTGTAGGCGAAGCGGATCCGAGACGTTCTTCACGAGAGGCGTCCATCAGCATGGCGGATAACATAAGACTGAAGAGGGTGAGCGTTAGGACACGGCCCTGTTTCACTCCGATGGTCACTGCGAATGCCTCTGAGACAGCTCCGTTGCCCATGCCATCGTGGAAATGACGCACCATCTGAGTGAATCGTTTGGGACAGACAATTTTCTGCATGATTTTTCACAGTACTTTACGATTCGCCGTATCGAAGACTTTCGTCAAATCCACGAAAGTAGAGTAAAGGTGGATCCACACCTCCTGACACTTCTCCTGAAGTTGGCGGGCGACGAAGATCATGCCCGTGACCCCACGATGACGGCAAATGTCACAGTGTCTTTCGGCAGAGAACCTTATTCCGGGTGATTATTCAGGCGGTTGAGAGGAAGGAAAGCAAAAATTTTCCCGACGATGTTCAGCAAGGAGACGCTTCAGCGATTGTCGCAGAGCTGGCTGCTTCCTTTCCGCTTATAGAGGTGGATGATTGTGACGTCCTTGAAGTTGTAGTGGACAGCCATACTGGCTACGTCGCGCCTCTCGCTAGCGCCTGCATCAACGTCCTAGCGACAGCCTGCTAAAACACGCACGTCTGCCCGGCTTCGATTTGTCTCGTTGCAATTCACTGTCTGCGCCACGCACCTGGTCGCTTCTCTGCCTGCACCATGCGAGGCTTGTTACTAACCTCGCGTGGGCTCGGAGCCAATCAACCAACCTTCTCTCGTTGATCGATACATTGGCGGGCACAGCCAGACCATTAGCGTAAAGAATCTGCAGCGACACTTTTGCAACGGCGACCTTCGGCGACACAGGACTCCTCGCGCTCGCGGGCGCCGCCTCCGCGGCGCCGGACGCATCCACGTCCGGTCGCCAACTTTCCCCTTCACTATTCTGTACAGAATAAAGTGTCCTAACCAAATGGCGTCCTGCTTCTAGCAGCTTGGGATATGGCCTGAAGTTGTGGCGTACTGAGCGTACACCATCGCCGCCTAGCCGCTACAAAGTCCTGTGGGAATGCGCGGTTGAGCTTTGAGTAGTTGAGAAATAAGTGTCGTAACCCCTAACCAAGAACTTACATAGCGGGATATCTGTTTTGTGCAAAGAAAAACAGGCGATCTTCCGAAAATAGTCATTATGCGTTTGATGTTTCATACAGTCGAGCCTTCACGAAAAGGGTATCTGTTTAAGAGGTAATCCACTGTTTTGCGACTTGTATCAATATCATCTAAGAAGTGTCCCCCGAGTGAACGGAGCAGCGGAAGGTTGAGTCGCAGCGATTAATTGTGCGTTGGAACAGGTTATTCGGTCCGCCTTCCTGTCCTCAGTTGGGTGGAGAAATTAGCTTGCCAGATCTACGGGTGAGCCTGAACGCTCTTATGTTGCGGAGTTTGCCACATCGGTTCAGCCAGCACAAATGTCGAACCCAAACCTTGATCTTGGGGTTAACGCCTGTGAGGGCCGGTCCAGTGCCTCGGTGTCTGGCTTTCCAGTCGACGGCCGCGACAACCAAGCTGACCTGCAGCCGTGCCGCCCACACAATCACCCCCCAGACTTGATCCGCAGCGGCCCTTGTCCCGCTGCGATGAGTCAGCTGTGAGGGCCCACCTACTGGTCATTCCGGCATACGCCGACCGACTTGGCTTGTAACCCTTACGTGCCCGACTCAGCTCACGGACCAACCGATCGCACATTCCACACAGAGCTGATTAAGCCATTAACTTTATCAGGCTCGCACGAACATGTCGGACACACGCAGGCATACGACTCATTACAACCCGAATTCCCGAACAGATGTCTTGTTCTGACCTACTAGCAAACTGCCAAATCAGGGTAAATTACCATGTGCACAGAACGAAATTAACTTTCGCGTCTCTCCGGTTTCTGTCGTTCGATTTAACAACTTTATTGGCGTATGGTTACAGTGGATCACACATTCATGACCTTCGTACACTAACGACAGGTCACTTCTTTCGATACTGAGGAAATGCTTTCAGGAAAACTGCTGACGTACCAACCTTAGGTTGCCAGCTCAGCCAGAGTCACGTAAAAACACCCCAGTTGACTCCCGTTATGACTTGCTAAATAACGAAGGAAGAAGAGGCGTTCATCGGGAGGGGTTTATTGGAGGTCCGACGTTTCGAGTAGTTTATTCGTCTACCCATCTTCAGAGACTGGAAAGTCCTGCGCACAGCTCCCCTTATATAACGCACTTTGTTAACTGCGTGACCCGCCAATGCCGCCTGTGTGGCTGCATCCATCTCACATGTCACCGTGACCTGAATCGCCCCCGTCGGCCGCGGAGATGACTGACGGCCCCGATTGTCCCGCGCCGTGACTGTCCCCCTTTAAGAAGGTTCGTAAAGTCGGATAGGGGAGGGGCCAATTGACGTGGCGGTTGACAGACCGGTCGATGGACATCCCGGCTTATTGCATTTGCCTTGTATGGTCACCGTCCCGGTCCAAAATCTCAAGGACGTCAAAGTTGAAGATGTGTCCCATTTGCGCGGCATGATTTGCTACCTCCGACTTTGGGTCCAACCTTCGCACAGCCAACTTATGCTCGTGCATTCGCATTTGCAGCCGTCGGCCAGTTTCCCCAACGTAGCTGCACCTGCCGCAGCTTCATTGAAGTCGGTAGACAACGGCCGGCATCTCCTGCTTAGGGATCGGATCTTTTGGCCGCATCACTTGCCGGCGGATTGTTGAGTCAGGCCTGTGGGCAACACCTATTCCGTCAATCACACAGGGCAGACATCCTGTATGATGTGAACCAAAGCAGCGAAACTGCCGATCCCTCATTAAAAACAGTACACACGTTATGGATGTTGTCAGAGCTTCAGTAACTGTCAGTAATTCCCACTGCCCGAAACGCACAGCGAATTCGCTCCAGGATGCCTGAAGTTCACTAACATCTGTTAACTTATATTTTGGCTTGGGGGTTTAGGAGAGAAGGTTTTAGGTAAAGATCAAGAGGAATAGTTAGAGTGGTATCCATAAAAGTTGGGGCAGTGCACTGATAGCGTTTCAAAACTGACGTCTAATATAATAACTATTAATCGACGAGTTTTACCGGCAAACATGGGAACACTGGATGGTCATTTCTGACTTATTTTCCCTCATCGCCCATTGGTACTCCAACCCCAAGTGGTGGCGCACCGAAGCTTATGTCCAAGCTAGTTGATCGTCGAGCATGGCCCTCTTCGCTGCATTTTCCCTGTTTC